ACACTCTCGCAAAACCAATACCCACGGTTCCCCAAAGAATGCTCGTTCCTTCGTAAAGAATTAATCCAAGAAATATCATTTGTATCTCCTCTTAGATTCTCCATATGCCACCACTCCCATGACAGTCATTGTATACCCGGCAATACCGATAAATGTAACGGGGTTTTGGAAAATGAGTATTGATATAACAACAGCCACGGCACCTTTTGCATTTCCTAATACCTGAATCAGCATCATAATATAAAAAGAAACTTCAGTTGTGTCTCTTTTGCCAATCGCAATTTCGAAGGGGATAACCGGAGCATTTTGTCATTATTAGGCTACAAAAAAGGGGTCTCTTTGGTAATTATTCATAGTTTATTTATATAAGATTTTGTCTATGAAAAAAGAAGAAAATGGATCATAACCAAGGATATAATACTTTGGCAAGGGGTCATCAATCATCATTTGGTAATCCATCAATTGTGCACTTGTAAATTCTAAATCTCAATAAAAGTGATAGCAAGAAACAATTAGGTAGCAAGATCCTCGACGGTGCTTAATGCAAAAATTTGAATACACATTTTTCTCAATGGGATTTTAATTTAATACAAGACCAAATGCAATTCACTTACGTGGTGAAAATCAATTAAGGACCTGTCATTATCTTTTTACTTTCTTGAATTCTATGAGTGCGTTCGTTAGAGAGAGAGAGAAAGAGAGAGAGCAGAGCAGAGCAGAGCAGAGGGGGACCTGGAGTGTTAGGGCACTTGTATGCTTAGTCACCAAGAAATTGCACAAATTTGCTCCAAAAGCCATAGTTGAATTGATGAAAAGAAGCATCCACATGAATTTATGTTCCATTCCAAGCGAAACAAGGAAATCCCATACATTGGGCTCCATTACAATAGCAGCAGGTAGCAAAACTATAACTGCAATCGGGGCCATATACAGCATCAAATTCATGGAGTTCAACTTTTCCCTACAAAAAAAAGGGGGCATTAAGTATAACCCAATAGTCAACCAAACTTAAAACCATCCACTGTTATTTTTTAAGATAGAAGAAACCATTAATCTGATATTCTAGTTAAGATCACAAAAAAAGTCACATACGAGTCTAGGTTGGGCCAAAAAGAAAATCATACTAAGATTTCCTTTTTAAAATTCAGCTAAGGTTAATCTTTTACCAACTATTGTAATCTGGACATTTATTGTCTTTATAGCATAAGTCTTGAACAAAATATTTACCCATCATTAGAAAGGAGGACCCCTTGAAGCACGGATTTGAAGGCTCTTGCTGCAGTTGCACCTATACACATGATAAATCCGTATAAATGGAAGCTCGGCTCACCCTGCAATAAGAAATAGAGAACAAGTGTAAATACAGAAACCCGAAATCAAATTTTGTTTAGTTATCTAAATCAATTACTATAGAAGGTGTGAATGCAGAACACAGGAGAAAGTAGTGAAGAAAATTTGCCTCTTTCAAATTTCATGATCCCAACTGATCAACAAATTTCAGATTCCATAACACAACCAACACAAAGCTCATTAATAAGAATCAGCATACGCATCTGTAGGATGAAGTAAAAAACTAGTTGATAAACAAGATTTCAGATCTGATCCTAATTTCTGAAACTGGCCACCGTCAACAATAGATGTATTGAAAAATACGAAACCCCATGAAAAAAAATCGAATCTTGTCAAGTATTTCACAAACCATATTCTGATACATTGGAATATAGCAACTAACTAGGCATGCTCATTAATGATTAAACATAGAACGAAAAAAGTTCCCACTAAAACTCAGATCTTGCTCATAAAGTGCAGTAGATCTTAAGAAACACACAAACTGACTTCAGAAAACAAGAACCTTTCAATGAATCAAAGCAAACCAAATATAACTGAAAATCCATCAATAAAAATCCAATCTTGTCTGAGAAAAAACACGGAAAAACGACACCTATACATTAGAATCTAGCAATTCAACTATTAACCAGATATGCTCATCAAACACAGAACGGAAAAAAAATCACCATTAAGACTCGGATCTAGCTTATCAGTCAACAAACATATAAATATCCAAAGAAAATACAGAAACTACCCATTTAAAAAACCAATCTTTCGACGATCAAACACAAGCCCAATAACAAATTAGCTGCACTCAAGCTCAGCATTTAATTAAAAAAAAATTAACAAAATCCTCCTCACCCCACTGGCAATCACAACCCCAGCAACCACCGGAACAAGACAGGTGTACGTGGCCCACGCCTCCCGTTTGCGGGTCATCAGGTACGCGAACAGCGCCGTGAAAAACGGCGTCGTAGCGCCCACCGCCTGGTTGAAGGACACAGGCAGGTAGCGGAGGGAGATGTTGCCGCCGACAACGGAGCCGCAGAACACGACGCTGAGCGTGGCGATCCTCACGAGCTGTGACCGGGATTTGATCCTCTGCATTGGGGCCACCTTGAGGAACACGACGGAGACGTAGCTGAGGCCGGCGCAGGCCGCCATGTGGCACATTGTAAGGAAGATTGGAAAGGCGAAGCCATAGCTGGAGAGGAGGAACTTGTTGAGCAGGAGAACTCCGATGTTGGTCGAGTACCAGAGGATAATCAAGCAGGTTATAAAGACGGCGTCTTTTCTTGATGTGGGTGATGAAGAAGACATTTTTTGTGTTTCGTTTTTTTGGGTTTTTTTTTTTCTTTTTAATTTTTGTTTGTTTGATTTTTGTGTTTCATTCTGGGATTTGTATCTGAATTCTGAAATCCTTTCATTTTTTTGGTTCTTTTCTTCTGATTATGTTATTATAGGACTGTTTTGGTGTGTGATCTGTGTTTTTGGTGTGTGTGTAGGTGTTTTGCAAGTGTTGTCATTGAGGAACTTAGAGAGATGAAATGGGTGTATTTAT